TGAATTGTGTTAATGTATATGTATGGTTTAAGTTTGATAACAGGTTGAGTGTTAAAAACACATCAGAGTTACAGTTTGTAGTATGACTGATTAAAACTGTTTTGATTTGAGTTGGTTCTGTGATACTTGGAAGGAATCATGTCGTCAAATGACTTGTGATCGCCATGATCCGATCAACTTAAATCATTAGAAGATGATGATTTGATATTATCAATGATATGTGCACTTACAGTTTATTGAATCTTCAAGTCGTCACATAGGTCAAGTGGAAGATTGTTAGATTATCTTAATAATCTTATTATAGTGGCTTATGTAACTTATAGCATGACTCTAATTAATGATTTAATGTGATGGTAGTTAAATATAAAATATAGAGTCATTAAGGGTATAATTTTAAATACAATTATAAGGAAACCTTCCCCTCTCCCTTTATATAAATTAAAGAGCGGTTACCAAATGAGGGTTACGATATTCTCTATTCTTACTTTCACGGTCTCTGAGTGAGCTCACGGTAAACGCAAAAAAAGAATTTTCTCTCAACCATCCGAGAAGACCTGAAAGAGGAAGGAAGAGTTGGGAAAAATACTAAGGGATTAACGATATCAAAGAGAGAGGTAACATCAAGGAATAGTGGATTCAGGTTAGTGCTCTTTAAACCTTTAATTGTAGGAGAACCATATATTGTGTTTGTGAGAGCAACGTAATTCAAGATCTTAATAGGGAAAAGGTAATTTCATAATAGTCATTGCATAATAGAAATTACATAATGGATTAAATAAAATTCTAACATTTGACACTTAATTTTGACAAATTTCTTTAATTTTAATGTTTTACAATTTATGCTTTAAAATTATAAACAATTCAATTTAATTTTTATTAGTGAAACATACGTTCACTTTTGAGAAATACTTAATTTATTGTATATTTTATTATTTTAAAAATATACACTCTCCTTTGGCCATATATCACTGTTGCCACCACCAATTTGAGTGCAAAAATCTATCGGTTACAACACACTTAACCTTCATATTTTTTTTACTCATGCTACCATTATTACTGCCACAAACATCTATGTTATAGCTCTACCGCAACATCTTCTCTACTCTTGCTATGGTGCATCCAAAGTCCTCTTCACATCCCTTGACTCCTTTTGGTACTAATTTCTTTAAGCATTGCCTTTCACTTTGGTATATGCCATCCTTTTTTATCTCCTTATTTCCATTTCCACTATGTGTATGTGATATGTCATAAGAAACATGAATACCATTAGAAGGTTGTTGTGCTTGAAAACACTACATAAAAAATGAGCTTTTAGAGCACTAACTTAGACAGCGGTTAATAAAAACTACTTTATAATTATATATTTAAAGAGCTGTTCTCTATTAACCGCTCTCAGATCTATACTTCTGAGAGCGGTTCTTTGTTAACTGCTCTCAGAACTATACTTTTGAGAGCAGTTCTCTATTAACCGCTCTCTAAAGTACACATTAGAGAGCGGTTAATAAAAAACTGCTCTCTAATCTCATTCTTGGAGAGCGGTTAATAAAGAACCACTCTCTAATGTATTAAAGTCATTTATAAATGCACACGCTCAACGCATTTCTTCTTCTTAGCTAACAAGCTAGTCTATTTCACTGTAAGTTTCTTCTTTACTCCTTTATGTTTTCTTCATCTTCTTTGTTAGCCTGCTCTCTTTGTCTTCTTTCGTTAACAAATTAGTTTTCTTTTTTCCATCTGTAGGTACCTCTTCATTCTGTGTTAGTCTGCTCTCTTCATCTTCTTTATGCTAATTTTTCCACATCTATAGGTACTTCTTTCTTCTTTTCTTTGTTAACGGTGAATCATTCATTCTCTCTTTCTTTCTTTTTCTCTCTACTAATGTTAAAAATTATCCTATTAATTTGTTCTTTTTTTTTTCTCTGCTTACTTGTGTTTGGTTCATGTAGATGTGGACTTTTTGGTTAACACCAAATATATAAACTCAAGATTCAATTTTGATTTGTGATAAAAATGAAGAAAACTCACAAAGAAATCAATTCTAAATTTTGATTTAAATGTAATAATAAATTTTTATTTTGCAACAGAAAATTCAAAAAGAAATCAATTTCAAATTTCATATTTGCAGTCGACATTTATACTTTAGAGAGCAATTTCACGCATAACCGCTCTATAATCTTACACCTATACTTTGGAGAGCGGTCTACATTAATATCAGATAGCGCTTGTTTAACCGCTCGCTTAAATATAATAAATCAGATAGCGCAAGATTTTAGAGCAGTTCTAAACGTTTTCTAATTCAAAACGGAACCGCTCTCAGATCTTCATTTTGGCGTAGTGAAAAACATAGAATCACTCCAAAAATGGAGGTTGAATTATGTGTGTGTGTGTGTATATATATATATATATATATATAAAGCATTTTGTACAAATAGGTTATAAAAAAGAGAGGCAGTGAAAAGATTTTAAAAAATGATTGTTTTATGAAATATGCATTTTAGAGAAAACTAAAGAACTTGCACGAATTTAGATAAAGAACAAGTTTTAAATAGAAGATAAGTTACATAACAACCCAATTAGAGTAAAATATAAGAATTTATCTTGCTTCACTCATAAAATTAGCGAACTATATTCATTCTTTATCACATAAAACAAGATTTTTAATTATGTCAACAAATTTTACAACTGCAAATAAAAATTTGAAGTATTCTTTCACACCAAGCTTCTCTAGGCTAAAATTTCAAGTATTTAGCTCTTTAGACTTTTCTTTTGTCAAAATAGAGAAAAATAAACTCTTGTTCTATGTTGTGTTAGTGTTTCTTAAAGCGTGTCTCTAACTTTCTAAGACTTAAACTTTGTTTATAAGTTTAATTTAAGGAAAAAAATTTTGAAGAGGAGGAGAACACTTTTAAGAGTTTTCGTGTTTTAGAATTTTTAAATAAAAAAAATGTTTAAAATTTTTTAGATGTTTTACAAAACTTTTTTTCTTTATAATTTTTAAGTACTCATTTTGAAGAGATAAATATTCAAACAAAAGAGAGGAACATAACATTACTTCCTTCCCTCTCTTTTTTTACCTTTAAATTCTTTTCCTTTTCTCTTTCCAAACTCCTAAATAAAAATTTTTGATTTTGTTGGAAGAATATTTCTATTCATTATCTATTATCTTACTTTGATTTAGAGATTTTTTTCACATTGCCAAGATCTTGTAGAATTTGTGTCATTTCACATGAGATAACAATTTAAACTCTATATATTGGTTGGTATTGCTTTAGTTCCATTGATGACATCATTAATATTAAAATATATGTATTTGATGTGGTTCTACAAATGATAAAGTTGACAAAAATGTATAGTATTTCCTAACCTGTATAACATTACAAGAAATAAAAAATTATATATAGTAAATTTTTATAAAAATTACAAAAATTAATACAATTTAATGCATGATCTAAAAAAAAAAGAGAGTTTCCTCGTGTGAAACACAATTTAGGTGCTTGCCTAATTTTAGTGCTATTAAGTTGAACGATTTTGAGCTGAATTCTTTATTTCTCAGAAACATTCCTTTAAATAATTAAATTACATGAATTGATTTGAATTTTTAACCAACAAGCATCTAACTATTTTGTTGAACTTTACAGATGACACTCTAGCAAAACATTTATCAATTAGTATGTGAAAATTTAATGTGTCATCACTTCATGTGATTATTTTACAATTACAAGTTTGTATGATAAAAAAAATGCTTTTGTGGCCATAAGAATATACATTTCTTGTCTAGGGGTATAGTCATGGACAAAGTTCTAGTCTAGTATTCAGTCTTTCATTTTTGCTTTCAGTGAGAAATGTCATTCTTTGTATGTTCTAATCTAATGTTTAGGACATTTTAATTACGTGAAAATAGTAGAGATATATTAGCTAGTCTTCCTCTTATCATATTTTTTATTCATTTTTTACTTCTCTATACATATGCTTCAACTTTGTAATTAATATATTAAATTATGAAAATATATTCAATTTGAAGAATTAAAATTTTAGAACTTCTTATTATTATTATCATTACGTCTATTTAGTATTTCTCTTTATGTTTGTTTTAACTTCAGTCTTTTTAGACTTATTATTTTTAGATGCTTATCTGTATTTAGAGTTGTATATTGTGCCTGATTTATAAGCAAATGACATTGAGAATTACCTCTCAATCTCATCAATGCATAGATACATTTTTATGATTTAAGACTTTTCTTTTACACTTGTTATATAAATGATTCTTTTGCTATTTTTATTCTATACTTTTTTTCTTCATTTAATTAGGAGTCAAATACACGTCATGGATTATATACTTCTTTCAATATATTTATCATTTTGTGATTTTGAAGTGTTATTTTTTAAAATTATAAGCAGGTTTGTTAACTAAAATGCAACTGAATAATAAAAATTTGAAAATTATTCATTTATATCAATAACCAAATTTAGTGACTAAATATGCATCACATTTTTTTAATATAGTTAGTGCTTGAAATAGTCACCGATTTGAGTAACATTTTTTTTTAACAAATTCAACGTTTGTAAAGTATAATTTTTTATAGTTTTATTTAAATAATTATGAATTACATGTGTATATATGTTATATCAATTTTTTTAGTTTGTCTAATATTACAAGTGATAAAAGGTTATATATATATATATTTTATAAAAATCGTAGAAGTCAATGTAATTTAATTCATTGACACTATTAATTGTTATAATTTTTAATAAAATTTATTATATATAATTTTTTATCTTGTCCAATTTTATCTAAATTAAAAAATATGTTATATTAGATCAAGACTTCGTGGGAAAACAAAAATTAAGTGCAACACTGGCTAAGGGATTTACGATGAAAGTAGTAGCTTGTTGTGTGATAGTAAGGGATCATGCTTATACGATTTGACTTTTCCAAAGATTAAGGGCTGATTTATGTAAGACCATAGGTAGGGGCTGGATAATCATAATTCATAAACATAAAAGGATAGATCACATACTAATGTTTACATTATTTAATAACAAATGTTTACAATTTATGGAAAAAATTCAAAAGCAAAAACTCTGATATTGTTATTCACATTGAAATTGAGGGACCACATTAGAGTCCAAGAAAACCTTACCCTACCCTTCATGTATCTGTAGCTGGTGGTGTAGAATAATAGGCCCTTTCCCACTTTAGTGGCATACACAGCTTAATGCCCCACACAAAGGGACCAACAAACACTGTTACCTCTGTAAGTATATGGAATGTAGCTGACTGCACCATCCAAATTGGGGCATACAAGGTGGCTCATTTTTATTTATTTGTGTACTTATTTACTTTCCAAGGGAAAGCCAATTTTGAAGGCACCAATTATTTCTTCCACCCCCTTTTGTTTATTACTTTTATTTCATATCTATCTTTTTCATATCTTGCTGTGAATAATAATCAGGTAAGTGCAAGCAAAATTTTTAAATGATTTCATTTACTATTTCTGCTTTACACTGATAATTCTTTGAAACAGCTCTTGATTAGTATGTCATGAACTATTTTTGTATGATCTTGTTCTCCTACTTATCTCCTTCTCCAGCTCTTCTAGCCCTCCCACCTTTTCAAGTTCCTGCATACCATATTTAGTTATTTACTGTGACATAGATGAAGAAAAATATGACATAAGTACGATATAAATAAAATAAACTATTATCCTATTTTAATAAATTTTTATCTTATTTTATATTTGATGCATACCAAAACTTTAAACTAAATATATTACATTATCTTAATTTTTTTTTAACATAGATTCTTCACAGGATAAAAAATGTATACTAAAAGCAAATTACACCCGAAAGAAGATAATTGTTTTTTTTTTTTATCTTATTCTATAATTTTATTCTATCCATTAAATGGATCCTAAATATAAATTAAGTAACTTAGAAGAAAAACTTGTTAACACCTAAAAATATATTAAGCAGAACAAATAAATAAGAACAAGATATAAAGAGACAAAATTTGCAACGCTTACCTTTGGTCCCAAAAACAGCCCATATGGCACCCCATTAAACTTGTCTGAATGGTGAAGCTGAAATAAAGACAAAGACATCATGGATATAAGAACAAATGCTAAAGAGAAAACGAAACCTCTTCTGTTGATTTGGCTTTATGTTACTAAAACATGAAAATAAGCATGGGTTAAAATAATGTTATCTTAATAATAATTACTTGGTGAGCCGCAGCTACCCTTCTGAAATAGGGCACGTTGGCAATGGGCCCCACTGGGAATCTCTTATGAACCAAACCGTCGTGTACAAACATGTAGGCCATACCAAATACCGTAATTCCAAGACCCTGCTCATAGTTCAAAAGTGTTCAGCGCAAAATTTTGTTAAACAATATATTTGAACATAATTTTTAATAAAAAATTATTATTTATTAATTTAGAACATTTATTAACAAAATTCTTTTATTATTAGTTAGAGTTTAAAATATGTTTATATCATTCTTTTTAAAAGAAAAATGAAAAAGATTTTAGGAAATGTACGCACTGCACCGAAACAAAGGCCAGGGACCAATCCCTTGTGGAAGAATCCGTAGGAAAGCAGAGCGATGGCAGGGACAGCATTGATTATTGCAAATACATCGTTAAGTTCGAAGGGTCCTTCTCTTGGTCGATGGTGGGACTGCAATTCAAGTGAATTTCAAGTTCAGTTTTGTTCGTTTGGGTTGCATTGATCAAATAGTTTACGGTGGTTGGTTGTTCACAAACATTTTTCCTTCTGGGTTTGAACTTTGTGGTGTTGAAAAATTAGGCAAAAATAGAAAAACCGATAATTAAGCATAAAAAAATTAGAATTTTTATGCTTATTTGTTTCCCTTATTTAATAAACAGCCAAGTGTAGGCATGATTTAAAGAAAAGAAGAAAAAAATTGAAAGCACACCTCATGCATGTGCCACAAGGAAGCATGCCAGAGAGCCTTGTGAGCCCATCTAGCCCAAAACTCCATACCCACCTGAAAATCAGACACACCCAGTTGAAAAAATCACCCAAAATTCACAAAGAACCTACCCAATTCTGAATTCAAAAACCATCCAAAATTGAATTGGAAAATAACTAGTTAATAGTACTTACAGCAGCACCCACTGATAGAGCAAATGTGCCAAACATTTCATACCAAGGAACTTCTCCACCCTACACCAACCAAACCCAAATTTATGTTCACATCATCTTCACATTCCAATCAAGACCAAATATAAAAGCATGAAGCCAATGTGAAAACATAACTAAACCCTTAAATTAGTCTTTAAAATTATATACATTTTAATCTGTAAGATTTTAAAAATCGATTGTACGTTTATTACAGTTCTTTTAACGGACAACAACAGCGATATAAAAAAAGTTAAAATATAACTATGTATAATAAATAATTTGTATGAAATCAAAAACTAACAACAAAACTTTAAAACTAAAATGTACGATTATATAATTTTAAAGATAAAAGTAAAAGTTTATTCAACTTGAAGGTGGCACCTACCTCCATTTGCCAAGCGAATCTATAATAAACAGCAAAAACAGCCATTGATGTGATGCCAAAGCTAGACATAACTGCTGCAACGAGGTAAGTGAACCTCTCTGACTTTTTTCTGGCCAATTTCTCTGCCACTCGTTTTGGCACAACTTGAGAGTGATTCCCTTGAAGAGAAAGAGGTTCTTCTTCCTCAGTTTGCATGTGGGTGTGATGTTTTGGATCTTCCGTGAGCACACAAACGGTGAAGGCTGTGAATTTTTGGGTTCTAAGGGTTGTCCTGTGATGGAGAGTTCTTAAGGGAGAGAAGGGTAGTGTTGGAGTTGGTTTGGGGAAGAAGGATTGCTGGAAACGGAGGAGGGGCTTCATGGTTATGGCGGCGGAGAGTCCTGCCGCCATGATAGAAGTTTGAGCTGAGCTTGAGAATTGTGGAAGAGAGAGAGAGAGAGAGAGAGAGAGAGGAATGAGAGTGAAGAGGGAAGGTTTAGAGTGAAGGTTTATAAAGGAGGATGAACAGAGGCCACAACTTTCTTTGTTGTGTGTGGAACATTTTAATGGAGGTTTTTTGGTGGGGCCATTCATAAAACAACATAAAAGACACTCGTGGAACATCACTGTATTGTGGGGGTATGCTTATTTTATTTTGTTTCGAGAATGACATAGTTGTTAAGGAAATAAAAGTAAACTATTCTTAACAATAAATGTTATCGTAGTTTTTAAGGTCATTTTATTTATATTTTTTATTTATTCATTTTTAATTAATACTTATGTAATACATGTTAACAAGATTTTTAATTCCTCAAAAATGTATAAAATTGAAGAGCAGTGTTTTAAGAGATCTTAATACTATATTTTTCAAATTAAAATTAAAAATTTGTCTTGATAATTCTTATAATAATGATCAAAATTAATATTTCATATTAGTTAAAATTAAGGTAAAATTTTGATTTTAATTAAAAATAATAACTAAAACCTAAAAATTTATGCTTAGAAGGGGAGTAAGTTGTTAAATAAGATATATATCTGTAAATATATTTAATGTTACTTTTCACTTGTCAGAGAATTAGTGTAATTATCCTCTGATTAATTGTATTTTTTATTTATTTAAGAACAATGTCATTATTTATGATTATTTCAGCATTAACAAGTTATATATCATAAGAAATTATTATTACGTTAGATTTTTAATTAAATTTTATTTGATTTTATATGTTTAGAAATTTCTACTTGGTTGGGATTATGATGTATTTACATTTTTAATTAATTCTAAGTTATAAATATCTTTTAAGTATTTTATATCACTCAAACTATTTATAATTATGATATTAAAATATTTATTTTCTCAAAAATATATAAAATCTTAGTAAAACACACTTTGTGAGTACGGTAAGTTTATTATTCTAATATAAAATATAGTATGTCGCTTTGTCGTATATTTAGAAGATGATTTTAAAAGAAAAGAAAAGAGATAATATATTTTTAATTTTAAATTAAGAAAATTTTATATATCATTTATAATAACAAATTGTTAATATATTAATTTTATGTTAATATATCAAATTTAGATATATTTATTTAAAATAAAAAAATTATTTTCCTCCTTCCTTTAAAATTTTGTTCCAAACAATCTTTCAAAAAAATTACGTAGACTTATCTTTTCATTTCACTCAGGAGTGGATATATCTAATCTTTATATATTTTTTAATAATTTTTTTATCATTGATTAAGTTATATATAAGTTCAATTAAATTAAGTGAGGTTCAGTTTTTATTTGATGAATTTTAAATTTTACAGTTAATATACTTTAATTAATGAAAAATAATATATTAAAGAGAGTGTGACAAGAAAATATCCAAACACATGCCTTGTCAAATTTGTAAGTTGATGTATGTAGTCATATCTGCATGTTGATGTTTCGGGTACAATTTCACGACTTTCTTTCGTAAGCCAATTAAATAAATGCACGAGCAATCCAAGGAATGTGGGAAGAAAAATGACCACGCTACCATGCATTTTGAATACTTTTAGTTCTATACGCTATTACAAAAATGTTTATCCACAATCAAAGATTTTTTTCACGACTTCAACCACATGTAGTTATAAATTTTAGAACAACACGGTAAAACTCTTAAATTTGATACTTTGTTTAGATTAAAAGTTTAATTTTTTTAATATTTTAAAAATTAAAAAAATATTTACATTTTTTAAATAAATCACTAATTTTATTATTTATTAATATAAAATTTAACAGTTATAATTATTTTATGCATAAAATAGGTTAAAATACACTGTCATTTTATAACGTGCCTTAAAATTTACCACCAAAAGTATCAAAGGGTTTAAAAATCAAACACCCATAAAAATTATGTCATGATCAATCCCAACATTTCCCCTCAATTTATAGATTTCATATTAAAAACAGTAAAAAGAAAAATTTACTCCTTCCCCATCTTGGTTTAAACAAAGGAAACTCAAGGGAATGATCTACAATGCAGTCCAGAGTAGACCAAAGTAAACATGAATACAAATGCCCCAAACACCCAAGACACAACCATAATGAAACACAGTATTTTCCTTTCTTTGCGAATGATTTCAACTTCAGCATTAACATGCTTCTCCCTTTCCAATGCAGCCTCTAACTTTTGCTTCAACTCATCTAACCTTTGTAACCCACTAAATCGAGACACTTCAGAAGATTCAGAGCTACTATCCACCCACCTAAAAAATGTGCATCCGTTTGGCTCTCTCCACCTGGGGCATCCGTAATAGGCCCTTCCAAAGTTGTTGGTTGTTTTTGCTCTAATCATTGGACACACAAGACCACAATAACAAACAGGACCTTCAGTTGGATTTGGAGGAGCAGCAGAAGACCAACTTGTGCTCATCTACGAATTTCTAACATAAAATAATGTCCAGATTGAAACTGTATCACACAAAATACCATGGCACACTGAAAGAAAGGTATTAGGATATTAACATGTGCCCGGAGTGAGTGGCTTACAAAATAATGTCCTTTTTTTTTTTTTTTTAAGATGAGTCATTTTTATGTAATTTATTTATCTAAAATATTTTATGCAATTTTAAAATAAGGTCCTCTAACTTGTATAGATTGTTAACTCATTACGTGAGACTTATGTCTTAACAGATCAAGATCTTCTGCAATTAGTGTATTTTTTCACTTTCGCTTCCATGTCTTACCAAAACAAAAACAGAAGGGAAACGCATCTTACCTTATTGGGAAACAAAAGGTGCTTGGAGACAATCCTATACTCACTACGTTTGTAAGGAATAGTGTTGATTTGGATGAGTTTTAAAATGGGTAAATATGTCTGTGAATTTTACATACACTTTTTCTTCTCCATTTTCCTCTAAACCAGACTCAAGAAGAGGAATTATATTTTTTCTTCTTCTGAGTTTCTGGTCATTTGAACAACACATTTTTATCACTTTATATCTCTTCTACTTATTTTCTTTCTATTTCATCAAATCATTTATATAGAATATAAAGTGTGATTGCTCAATTTATTTAAAATGTCTTCGTCAATAATTTAAATTTATAATTATTGTTTCTTATATATCTTTTAATTGATTGTCAATCCACCAATTTAACATTTTTATTCTCTAACAATTTTTTATCATTGTAATTAATTTAATGGAATCTTGATGGAACTTAGCTTGCTCTTGCAACGCACTTCAAGAGGCAGAACAGTCAAGGCCATGCTTTCTCCACCTCATGCAAATCTAAAAGGGTAAAAGATCCAAAAGAAAACGATAGGTATAGAAAGTTTGGGGCTTTTCAAATTTGTCTGTTCATTGAAGGAAGATGTGAAGAGTTGTCAAAGGATTGAAAACTGAGATATCGCGGCTGCACTATGACCATAACTTGCCTTAGGAGAGACAGAAAATTGAAACCTTAGGTCCTTTCGTGGTTCAGTACGGAGATTTCGGTGAAGAATAGGAATATTGAGGTGAATCAATTGGTCGCTCCCTTTCATTAATTGAAAGACCCTACCATATACACTTTTTAATGTCAGGCTAATAAATATAAGCCACGTACTAAGGGACTCCGTGCCTGTGTTTCGTTCAGGGTTTGTTTTTTTAATTGTCTGAATAGTTTTTTGTTTTTTTTATTGGAAAGGTAAAATTTATTAAATATTTTATACGCTTCAAATTTTTTCATCTTCGACTGCTTTCTAAAGAATATCCTTGATAGATAAAAAGGAAAAAAAAAAGAAAAATAAAGCAAAGAGAATGTACCATTAGCTGTATATAAGTTCTTTGCTGCAATACTGTTGAATAATTTGGTGTGCGTTTGGTTTTTGGTGGAATAAAATTTAAGGGTGCGTTCTTTTTATCAAAATAATGAATAAATAAATAAATAAAGATGATTAAGCCGACGAAAAAAAAATTATTATTCTTTCACTTATAATTTGTATAATGACTTTTGGACTATTAACAAAGTACAACTTTAATAATTTAATTTAGAGAGTGCTTGGTTTATAAAATTAGATTTAATCAAGTATTTAGTTTTTACAAAAGTTGTATTGTTTGTATTTATAGTCTTTGAAAAAAAATTTGTTAGAATATAATTCTTAATTTTTCAATTTATTAAAAATTATGTTTATTATTAACTAAGTTTTGTTAAGTGAGTTGAATAATGAAAATCTAACTCATTATCAACTAACTTTTAATATTTTATCATTTAAAAGTTAATATTAAAAAAATTTCACACATTCTCTCTCTCATCTTTGACAAGATTTTGTTTTGATTTTACAATAACGAATATTCTTATTCTATACGAAGAATTAGTGCACATAGGCAAGCAAGTTGAGCGTTACAAGGAAATAGTAGAATTTATAGAGAAGGTCCCTGCCATTGTCAAGAATGAGGAACTCACCATTGAAGAGAGGAACCTTATCTTCATTGTTTACAAGAATATCATCGGCGCACAACACGTTTTATGGTATATCTTATTTTCAGAAAACTCAAATCCTCATAAGAGAAAGTGGTGAATAGAGGTAAAAGAAAAGTAATAGAATTTTACAAATATCAAAATTAAAAATGACCATTGATCCAAAATCGTGTCAATAAGGCAAATCATACAAACTGAACAACGATTAGAAAAGACACAAGATGTTGAGAGAATTAGATTTGATAAGAGTTGTAGGAATACAAATCTTATTCAATTAGATAAGAATCAGATATCTAATTCTATTTTTGCTTAAATAAAAAATGAAAAAAATGAGACAAATTTTTTCACGAGAATTCGCTCTGCTTCTCTCTCATGCCTAACACTCATTCTCTAACTTCCATATCCAACTTTGTTCTCCCTCCTCTTATACTCAACTTTTTTTTTCCTCCCTACTACCTCTTTCCCCTACTCCTAACTCCTCTCTTCCTCTCCTCATCCTCACCTCCCCTCTCCTCTTCTCCCCATACCCAACTTCTTCACCCTTCTCACCTCACCCCACTCATACACCGCTTGCCCTCTTTATCCCTAACTCCCTCTTTCCCTCACACCTAACCCTTTTCTCCTCCCTCATAAAAAATTGTCAAAATATATTTTAGTTATTTTTTTATTTTTGCTTAAATAAAAATAGAATTAAACGTTCATTTCTCATCACATCAAAAAAGAATTCGAGTCTCAGTTGTAGGTGACAAGTGAGCATGCATCACAATGCTATGGATATACAATAGTAAGGAGCAATGTACAATGAGACAAACTAAATTCATTGGTTGTTGGTCCAAAAACTCATCGAAAAGATGAGGGCAGTGGTGACTAGAAAAGAAAAGAGGTCAAATAAAAATAAAATAATATTTGGATTAACTATTAATTATTTAAAATAACATAAATAATTTTAGATTTTTTTATAATATTAAATTTAAAATAATAAAATATTAAAAATAATTATCAAGTACAAAAAAAATAATAATGAGTTAAATTTGTTGTATAGTTGCTTACTTAACAAAATTCAGTTAAAAGTAGAAATTAATTTTTAATATTTTAAAAGTAAGGAACTATATCTTAACAATATTTTATATATGGACTAAATTCAAATAATATAACTTTTGTAGGGATAAAATACTTAATTAAAATTATAAAATTATTTTTAAGACCTTAGAATTATTTTTTTCTCATAATCATGTTTTTTTAAAATGGTAAAGATGTATTTGATATGTATAAAATATTCATAAAAATTTTATGTAATATTTCTTGCAAATGTTTCTATCTCACGGTTCAATTTAAGTATTAATTACTTCCTAAGAATATTAATCCTTCTTTAAAAACAGTTATATATATATATATATATATATATATATATATATATAGCTTTAAATTTAAAAATATTAAATAATATATTAGTGTTTTTATGTTATAAGTTTTTCACTTTAATGGAAATGTTAAATTGTTACCATATTCATGAAAATATCCTGTGGAGACACTTAAAAAGATATTTCTAAAAACAGTAATTTTCTAAAAGTACTTTTAAAATATATGAAAAATGAGAACTACCATTCTTGATTTTATTAAATTTCTTCAAAAGCTTGAAAAACATCTTTCTATATTATTTGTTGGTATAACTTTAAAAGTTTATATTAATAATTTTCTTAATGAAAAGACCATATTTAATAAAAAAATTAGTATTATTTCATTTTTTAATAAATAATAAATTTTTAGTGACAAGTTAATTTTCACCTTCTATATTTTCCTAAAAAAAATAGAAAAAATATTTATTATCACAATTTCTTTAGTAAAACTAATTACGGTAATAATTTTTAAAAATAACTACATAATCATAAAATGATAATATATATTTTTTAATTTTATTTTCTCTTTGCTTTACATTGAAGGAATTTAGAGGAATCAGAGGAGTTAGCCCCTCATAACATGCATGACATTTTGACAGCGGAATTTAGGGGATGAGTGAATTGAGATGGTTCAAGTTCCATTAGTTGTGAGGTGTTCGTACATTTCATACGTATACATCATGTATGCTGCATGCATGTAACCAAGACTCGTGATCTGTTTGTAGATTTCATTTTATGCATTTATTTATTTTCTCATATATTTAAGCAGCTTGTATACAACTATAATAAATATATATATATATATACAAAATAAAATAATTATAGTCGACATTATATATGATGTCCATTTTTATATTAAAATAATAAAAATGAATGCTTAATAACAGCGGAAAATTAGACTGAATTGAAAGTATTAGTAATTAAAACAGTTCAGATGAAATTTACTATAAGATTCTAACAGTCACTCTTCAATGGAAATAACGTTACCATAAATAATATTTACTTCTATGAATAAACTAATATTTGATTATCAATTAAAAATATTTTAATACAAACAAAAACACTATACAATTCAATATATTAATAATATTAAATATTATAAAATCATAGTGACAGTGCATTAAAATTAAACTATAGATAATTTAAAGCAAAGATACATTTATTTTAATGTTTTTGACACGCGTCACGAATAACGCGTGAAAAGAACGTTATCATGTTATAGTTGTTATGATGGGCATGATTGGAGGGGGATTGGAGGGGGATTGGAGGGGACTATTGGATAATAACGATGTCGTAGGCTTCCACGATGCCTCTTACAATTTCCACAACGGTGCTTCTTTTGCACAACATTGGTCCAAACCGACACGTATGCCACATTCCTACGTATGCATATGACACTTGCCATTTTCTTCGCCTTTGAACCTTCGCCATTAGCTACCTAATGCTCCCCATGTCATTCCCTGTCTCTTCCACCATTTTCCTATTTTTCTTCTCATTTTACGCTGTTCGTATTTAGGATTTAGATCCTTCAAATGTATACAATAAAAAAATTATAAATTATTTATTTCAAATTAAT